GTTATTCGATGTCTTGAGTATAATGAATTCACCACAACCATTAAATGTATACTGAACGCCGTCCAATGTTACCATATGTGGTTCACCAAACGTGATGGCTACGGAATAGTATAAGTCAGATGTATGTATTATGCATCATTTCATTGACGTAAACGGGAGTTTTTGATCAAACYTCTACAAGAAATAGGTTCAATCAAATAGAAACATTTATTTATAATAACCCCAGTTGATATTTCTTTAGAATTCCCCTTATGAACAATATACTGTAGTCACTTATTTGATGTACAAATGAATATCGATACGGCATATGTGTACCYACCAGGTCTTGGGGGTTGGTATCTTTTCCCATTATCTGATGGTCTCTTARTGTAATAGAGCTTACAATACTTGTTACTCCGAATGCAGCAGTCATAGTATGGTAGAATATCGTATATATAGTGACTGATGTATGGAATATCTGCATCATGGTGCATCTTGGCAAATGAGCCACCTTTTTCCTCGTGACCAAGGAGTAGTTGCCCTTTTGTGCTGTAGCAACATTGTTGACCATAATTTTTTAGGCTAAAGAGGAATTCGAAATAAAACAATGAAGTATGAAGGATGTATGGGACGTCCTTGCCATAAATGTTACAAAGGGGCACATTGTAAGCTTGCATATAAGATGCACTATTTAACATTTGTAGTAACATCTGCACGTCACGTAGTCGACCCTTAAATACATTTTTAAATCCACAAAGTACATTTTTATCAAAATGATGGAGCCCACGGGTTGCAGCGAGAAATTCAGGAAAAAAGGACTCTCCAGACAAGTAATAATTTGTAAAATTTTTAAAAAAATTTGCCAAGAAAATAGAAAAAAACCCTCCTAACTAAAGAAAATAGTAAACCGTTTTTTGACCATTAAAACGTTATATATATAAGCCTTTTTTGACCTTAAAACGTTTTGCCTTGGTTTGGCAGAAACAAATTATTTTTTTAAATACTTTTTTTTAAGAAGAAAGGGCGTCACATTTGCTTGATTGATTGTCAACAGTKTAGCTGAAAATCCCTTTCCCAGGAAAGTGATGATGCGTTCCGAAAGCTGTCCGTCACAGAGAAGAARTGTACGTGGATCAGATAACACTCCAAACTAAGTTAAAGTTGATATATTTACCTTGGATTTCTTGCGTCAAAACATATCTCCCAATTTTTCTTGTAATTAGAATTGCCAGAAAAGAATCTATTTTCCTTACTCATACGTTCAAAAAATCGCCCATCATCTTCCATAGCCTTCTCTTTCGTAGGAGGGCATGCTATAAACGTCGGGTCGTCTATGTTCAAAACAAATTATACGTGAATCCATCGAGTGAAGTGTACGACGAATGCAATATATTTATAGACCTTCTTGAACTTGAGTGCAATATCTGTATTATGCACTTGAATATAGTATAACTAAGATGATATGAGAGAGCACTTGGTATAACAAAAACATCAATTCAATCACTGAATAAGAAAAATTATAAACAACCCGGACATGGACAATAAAATTATAAAGATCTTTATTGACAAATACAATCGCAGCCGAGCGAATGGCTGGAATATATGCTTTTTAACTAAAAGCGCTAACCTTTGGATGGGACGATATTCGATTCTTTGTCTGCCCACTTTCGACATCTCAATGAAAAACCTTCAGCTGTAAAATCTGGCCAGATTAACACTTTACTCCACATCCATTCATAGGCAGTCTCGGCTTGTGTCCTAAATAGGCGTAGTTTCCTCAAGCGAAGAAATGAGACGAGTCTTCCCTCGATGTCACTGTGTACGATGATCACTTTTCAAACTCATTTTTCAATTTTGCACGAGCCCACAATTCTCTATGAAAACTGAGTCTACAATATTTGATATTAATTTCTGACATTGCTTATATGTTAATTAATCATTGAAAAATAGATCCATATCTCAATTTTTCAAAACTCTAGGTATGATGCCTTATTCTTCCACTCCCCTTCATACCTAACCCTAACCCTAGCCTGCCACTGGTGAGCGTTAAATGGCGACTATGACAATAAATAACAGTATCAAMTACCTTCCTACGGTGGCTCTGAAGTGACATCACTAAATTGATCTTTTTAGCTATCATTTTGCTGTTGTTTATCTTTTTAGAGTTGGAAGTTGCCAGTTGCCAGTTTCTAGTTGCCAGTTGCTATGCGACAATCCCCAGTTGTCAGTTGCCATTTTCTAGTTGCTAGTTGATAATTTAGTTGTCACGTGCTTAACCATATGGATGGTCTTCTTGTGTTGACTATAGAAAGATGCGAAAAATAATAGTTGCATAATTTTTAATGTTTTTAACTTAGATGAGAAAAACATCAAAAATTATACAACTATTATTTTTCGCACCTTTGGATAGTCAACACAGGAAGCCCATCCACATAGTTAACCACGTGCCAACTTAATTGTCGACTGGCAATTTATTGCAACTGCCAACTAGCTAGCAACAGGAAAATAGTAGCGAAAAAAATTAATTTAGTGATGTTATTTCAGGGACACTTTACCTGCCACCTTCAACTTCTTCTCTGGTAAAAGGGATCTCAATTTTGGCCTTTACGTCAGTCACTTTGTTAACATTTGGAGTTGTTTTGAGAAAAGTACTGTGGAAAGTTACAGCATCATTTTTTATCGCATATTGTACAATCTCGATAGCGATATTTTCTGCCTTTGGTGGCAAAGCATATATGTTCCAATTTACAGTCATGATTTGAAATTTGTTTTCATGGAGAGTCCAATTTGTTTGGAAACCATTCACTTTATAGTCTTCTTGGGAAACTACATGCAAAAGGAATCGATGTTAGCATATCAAATTCTGGCAATTTACTTACAGGTATAGGCAACTGTTGTACCATATAATGCCGCTCAAATACAGTATTATCAGATACAATAAATCTTTAACTGGTTATTGGACGACCATTCGGTCACACCATATATACACCTTTTTTTTAAAAAAAACGTTGTCGTTACCAGGGCACAGTCCACAGTTTTGAGCCTGCAAAGAATCTCCGGATTTCCATGCGTAATTGATATATTAAAAATATATTTGCCTATGTGGTTTAAACTCAATGGCGGCAAACACTACTAATATACTATTGCGGGTATTAAAACCATCCTGCCATGAGACATTTTGCTGGAAAAATGTCCCACGTTTCCAAACCGTCAATGAGCTTCAAAGCTATATCCATTACAAGACCGATAATTTTGAATAACTGAAAGTGAATGCATATAAGGCCATCCCGAGATTCTTTGCAGGTTCAAGACTGTGGCATGTGTCGTAGCGACGATAACGTTTTTGAAAAAGGTGTATGTGATGTGATCCAACGCATGCGCATGCACAGAGTGCCCTAAAGAGGGTCTAGGACTAGACTAAGTGTGAATGTAATAATTTCTATAAAGTTTTAACAAATACAAGTTGTGCAACAAATCACATCGATTTAGTCATCGCACTTTGTACATGAAGAAAATAGCTTACATGACATGAAGATGAACCTACAGAGGAAATATTTTGTTTCTTTATTAAACTATTTTTTCATCGGCTAGAAAGCGTACGAGGTTAAATGTCTCTACAGCGGAGGACAAGAATTGGTGTTTTACCAGAGTATTTACAATGGCATTGAAGGTTAAAGCATGTAACATGTACTTTTACCGTAATAAACTATCCCAACGTATGGAAATGTAGCACCATTATCACGAGACAAGGTGAGTCTTGCTTTGCCGATGAAATTAACCGCTGGTACTGTACATTTTGCACCAGATTCATCTGAGATACTGACAAATGCTCCCGGTGACCCCTCGTCGTTACCAAATTTGCACACAATGTTGTCAGTTTTCAGAACAAAGCATGGACCATAAACTACAATATTGGGACCACCAAGCATTGGTACTTTGTAGTCTTTGGCTGATTTAAAGGTCAAAAATCCTACAAATTTTTCAATAGAAATATACGAATTAGTACAATACGCTGGAAACCAATAGATTCCCGGATTTGCGAAAGACTCTCTGGCGCTCTTTTGCGTCAAGCAACAAGTTTCAGCCTTTTGTAAAGTAAAAATACGACAAACTCTCGGTGTAATTCATTTGTCGCATGTTCTTTTAACCTACCTTCAACATTGCAGCCTCCTTCTTCGACTTTGGCTTTGTCTATCCTRAACATCCACACACCTGGTTGGTTCACGTTTGTCGTGTAAGGAAGATCTAAAAGGCCGACATTTCGGGAATTGGGAATACTGTACCAGTGTGTATTATCTCCAGCATTAAACCCGCACTGAAAAGATTAAAAAACCGATTATAAATCATAT